TAACATCCCAAGATCTTTGATTCCAAAGTGTGAATGGAGAATCTATTTGATATTTGAAATTTCTTCCATGTGATATTCAGTTAGTATAATGTCATCGACATACACCATTAAGACTATAAAATTACTTCCCTCTACCTAGTAAAGAGATTATGATTTGAGTGAGCTTGATAATATCCATAAGATAAGAGCAATAATGATATTTTCTCATAACATGAATGACATGTTTGTTTCAATCCATATATGGACATTAAAAATTTGTAACACTGGGAAGGTTGAATGTTGTTTATATTGGAATGAGGGGTCATGTACACATCTTCGTTTAAATTTCCATAAAGAAACGTCATTACTTACATCCAATTGATGAATATGTCATTCTTTAACAAAAGTCACACCAAGAATGATTCATATGGTAGCCATATTAACCCCAAGTAAAAATGTTTCAAGATAACTAATCCCTTCTGTTTAAGCATAACTTTTTGCAATCAATCATACTTTATATCATTACACATTCCCATCCAAATTTCTCTTAATTTTGTAGATACATTTGCATTCAATGGAACGAATGTTCAAGGGGTGTATCTACAATATTTTAGGTTTTATTCATATTGAGTGACATTATCTTAGATTGCATTATCTCATACCAACATTCATGCTAGATAGCCTCTTGGTAACTCTTTGTCTCAAATTCATGTGACAAAGTCATTAGATAATGATAATGTGAGAAAGAAACATGAAAATAGGACATGAAAAAACTAAGAGGATACAAACATTTTGTTGACGATTGGATAAGGTAGTTATAATGATAATCAGAGAGGTGAACAAGTGGCTTATGTGTTTGAGTTGAATGGTGCAATGATGATTGGGCTGAGAAAAATTATAAGTTGAGGTAGATGAGAGCAAGTCAAAGATTGATTTATTGGTAGATTTGACATATAAGTATATAAGTGTAGAGGAATGAGCTCACTAGGTTGTAGCTGAGGTGGTGTTAGTGATAATTTAATGAACTCACTAATTGAGAAATGAGTTCATGTATTTAAAGTGGTGTAAGTGACAATTAGTAGATTTACTAATAAGAGGTTTACTAATAAATCTTCAGTTTAAATATTTGAAAAATGACATCTACATGGTCTGCTTTATCTTAAAAAAACAAATGAGATTTGTTTGAAAATAAAAGTCTCTTTGTATCTAAGTTTAGAATAATGTAACTCTTTGTGTTATTTTGAAAACTTAAGAAAACTCCCGTCTAGATCGTGATAAAATTTATGACGATTTACAATATTTGCTGATGTTCTAAACCTTAAACAACAAAAACCTTAAGTTCTTGAAATTTAAAACTTGATTATATAAAAGTTCAAAGAGATTTTTGTTCAAATTGATTGATAATGAAACTCAATTAATTAAGTAAACAATAAGTGTAATGACATAAAACTATAAATAACTAAGAATATGATATGAGATTCAAACATAAGGATTCTTATCATTAATGACGGACCTATATATATATATATATATATATATATATATGAGTGTACATGTGCATCATTTGATTTTATTAAAATTATTAAAAATATTTATTTATTTTATTATACCTCCCTAATCTTATATATTTGAATCCACTAATCATTGTTCTATAATAAGACTTGTGTATAGTTGAGAGTATATAATTACATAATGTTATTTATTATTAATTTATTATTAATTTATATTATTTAAAATATACATTATCCTTATTAATTTAGAGTTTTAAATCTACCAATGCTTGTCACATTAAATATGTGCTTATGTTTCTACTAAAATTATTTAATAAAAGATAAATATAAACTTAATCCATCAAAATTATTAAGGTTAGTATTATGTTATCACGTTACATTTAAAAAATTCTAAAATATAATGTATCATTTTTAACTAAAAAAATTAAACTTTACATTCAAAAAATTCTAAAATATAATGTATCATCTTTAATTAAAAAATTAAACTTTATCATTTATACCAATTTATGCAATTGTTGTTATTTTCTAATAATATTTAGTGAAGTGGAAAAAACTCAGAAACTTTTTTTTAATAATAGTTGTTGAAGATAAAATTCGTTCATTCAATTGACACTTCCTTGTTTATCTATATGTTTAGGTATTTAATTAAAAACTCTATTTTATTTTATTTACTTGCCTTTTAACGATAACATAATTGTAAAAATTGTGCTTCCTTGTACATGTATTGTAAAAATTGTCTTCAGTATTGATGCTTAGAGTGAGAAGATGGGCAAATGATATACATATTTTTGAAATTAAATGGTGGAGTGAATGTATTAAGAATCCATGATTTGAAAGGATGTAGCATACAAAAAGTAATATTAAATATAAAACTGCATCCGTTATGAAATTCTTTATTATCACCGTAAATAAGAAACATAAATACGAATTACACTATCAAATTATATTTTAATATTAAAATATAAATGTGTATATATTATTATACGTGTTGATTAATTCTGTAAAAAAATTATTGATTGATAAATAGTAACTGTTTCAATTAGTTGGTGAAATTAAATTTAAACTTTAGTTGTTTTAAATAATTAAAGAACCTAATGATCTCATCAATCTACAAGAAAAAAACAACTCTATGATTTTTTAAAAATATTATATAATCATTAACTTTAACATAACTATGTATATAAATAATTATATAGTCTAAATTTATAATTTCCATTTGTATTTTTAATATTGTTTTTATATATTGTGGAATAAAAACAATGCAAAAAATATGTCAACTTAATCAAATATGCTAATCAAAATTTAATATAATTATGTGTTTCAAAACAATTTTGTTACTATAAAAACATTATTTTTAAATTTATTTAAAAAAAATCATTGAAGGAGTTTATTTAGCAGCTCTTTTAAATAATTTTCATTTTTAAAACCAATTTTTTTTGTACAGATTAAAAAAAATAATATATAAATTAATTTTAATTTATGAAAAATATGTTTTTTTTAATATGATAGTTTATGATATAAACATGACCTACCATACAAATCATCTTAGAACTCCATTAATCTGAGCTGTGATATATATGAGAAGTAAAAAGAAAAATCTCAAACAAATGTAATATGAAAATAAATGTTAAACTAGAAAATTGTACTTTATTAGAATTATTCTTTAAGAAAATTTTCAAGAGTCAGTCACCCCAAAATTACTTGAAATTAAAACATTTTTAATATAAATTCTTAGGTAAAGGACTACCAAAAATTAAATATATATTATTAGTATAATTAACACTAATTAATTAGCTTAAATACATCTTAATTGTATAATTTCATTTATACTGGAAACAAGAAAGAAAATGTGTGAAAAAAATAAAAAATAAAAAATGGGAAAATATTATTATTTATTTAATAGAAAAAGTGATGCAAGAAAGGAAACATAATTATTATTTTAAAAATAATAATTAGTTAAATTAAAATTAAAATTAAATATTTATTCAATTATAAAATTATTTATATAATTATTAATTAATTCATTTTTTATTAATATATTAGTTTTTAAATTAATATCTTGAAATTAATATTTACTTTTTTAATAATGTATATTTTAAAATATACTTATAAAATAATATTCATTTCTAAAAATATCTGAATTAAAAAAATTAATAAAATAATACATATTATACAAATAAAAATATATTAAATTATTCATTCAATTTTTATAATATTTATATTTATGACATTTTATTAAAACGATAATTAAAAGTATATATGTATAATTAAAATTATAAATATAAAAATAATAATATTAAATGAAAATAATTTTCAAAAATTATATATTTTTAGTTTTTTATGCTTATATGTGATGAAAAGTAAATTGTATATAATAATAAAAAAGTGAAATATATTTTTATAATTTGTTTATTATCAATATTTTTTTTAGTGAATTAATTACTTTTCACACCTAAGTCCAATTTGAGTATATGTTCACTTCATTCACATATATCATTAGTTGTTGGTGTCTCATTTCTTTTGCAGCAAATATTATTTATGTGGTTGAATTTCAATCATATGATCTACTATGTCAAATATATATTTAATTTAAGCAACATAAATTTTGGGTAAGAATTTTTTTTTTTAAAAGAGTTTATAGGAACGAAAGTTCGTGCCTTTATGTGAATTTTTAGGAAAAAGGGAACTACTTCCCGTTCGTTTCTCTGTGTCAATACTCCCAAAACTTTACCTTTCATGCCAATGCCATACGGATGTTGATGCTTTGTTTACGTCACTGGGAAAAACCATATTGTATTACTACTTAATGATGAAAATTGAAGTTCATATTTTCTATCAAATTTATTATTATTATTATTATTTAAATTTATTCCAAATTAATGATAAGATTATTTATATAAGAACTTTTCAAGTCTAGATATGTTTTTTCTTTTATAAAGACGTTGGTGATATGTAAAAGTTATTTTTTTAAAATTGTTTTTAAGTATATATTAATATTGTTTTATTTTTATTAAAGGGTTGAAGATAAAATAAACACGGTAACAAAATGTCTAATTCAGATTTATTATACCAGTATATACAAGGTAGAAAGAAATTATATATAAATTAAATAATTTAGTAATATATGTAAAAAAAAACACAAATGTATTTACAAATATTTTTATTTTAAAATTGCCTTAGATATAATAAATATCACTGAACTATATTCAAAGAACAAAAGTTAGTATTCAATACTAAAACCCAACGGTGAAACATTCATTACTTTTGCGAGCAGTATAAAACACTCATGCTAACATGCAAGAGCTGTGAAAATTCCTCGAAACTTCAATTCTTCAAAAGAGCTTCATGGTACATGGCTAGATACGGCTTCTCATTACAAATGAATGGAAGCTACCATTGTACGTATGATCAATAGTGGCTAATAAATTTCTCACTATAACCAGACTAATTAAATTTCCTCAGTAGTCACCTATATAGAGAATTAACAAGTCTTGATTTGGTTCCTCAAAAATGGCACGCCACACCATGGAGGAGGACTTGAATATCTTGGAGATGAACACTGAGCCTTGTAATGACAGCAATGCTACAACTGCAAAGACAGCACCGCCACAGGCACAGAACAACCTCACATCTTCAGCTGTCACAAACAAGTGTCCATTTTTGGTCACCAAAGTTCGCTTCCAGATGCTTAGGAGTTTCACAGCCAATTTGCAGGAGGTCGTTTTTGGCACTAAGCTTGCTGTGCTTTTTCCTGCTGTCCCTTTAGCTGTTGCTGCAGATTTTTATAGCCTTGGAAGGGTAAGTATATCTGAAATAAAATGTTCCATCATTTTGAATTTACTTCTTCCATATATAACATTATTAAGTAGCCTACATAAGAATGGTTTTATTAGCATGAGAATGTTATGACATGAAATGGTTATAACGTATACTTTGATTAATTTTCTGCCATATGTAGCCTTGGATTTTTGCTTTGAGCCTGCTTGGACTCACCCCGCTAGCTGAACGTGTCAGCTTCCTTACTGAGTGAGTTTGCATGTGACTTATCTTAACATTATGTAGTCACTACTGATAAATTATGTTGATGTTCATGTTTCTAATTCTCTTAATCTGTTTGATTTTTCGTTCGAAATTGAAGGCAAATTGCGTATTACACTGGCCCCACAGGTAAATTAAACCATGTTATCTCTCGTGATCTACATGCAATAGAAACAAAATTAAACACCGAGTTAGATACTTAAACATGATGTTAGTCTTTCACCTGAAACTTTCATTTCACTTTGATTCTCTAAATTTACAAACTTTACTCGAGTTTGTTGAAGTGTTTTTTGTTATATTAAGCTGATCTTTTCGTAAGTTATCACATTCATTTTATCAGCTTGGTGATACATGACAAACAGTAAAAGAAGACATGTCATACGGACATTGGTTATGTCAGCAAAATATATAATATCGTTAGTGTAAAAGAGTAATTGAAAAAACATTTTCATCTAATACAAACACTTTAAAATATGTGAAATTTTTTAAACTTAAGACTAAACGGAAAGAAAGAAATTTAGATGAGAAAATAAAGTTATATTTTTGACTAGTTGAAAAATAAATGCAGCACTAAATTTTTCTTAATAACATTGTGACATTGAAAAGTGATTGAATATTTTTCAGTTGGAGGGCTTCTAAATGCAACCTGTGGTAATGCAACTGAGATGATCATATCTTTGCTAGCACTTCACCAAAACAAAGTAAATGTCGTGAAGTTCTCCCTGCTGGGTTCCATTCTCTCAAACCTTCTATTAGTTCTTGGAAGTTCACTCCTCTGTGGAGGCTTAGCCAACCTTAGGAAGGAGCAAAGATATGACAGAGTAAAATATACAATGCTTATTACCATTTTGTTTCAGTTTGAAAATTTTCTCACTGTTCAATATTCTTGCTTCTGATCGTGAATTTGTTTTGTTATTTGGTGATTGAATGAGCAGAAACAAGCAGATGTAAACTCACTGGTTCTGTTGCTAGGTTTGCTATGCCATTTGCTGCCATTAATGTTCAGATATGCCTTAGCAGGGGAATATCCTTCTATTGCCACTAGCGCTCTACAATTGTCAAGAGCAAGCAGCATTGTTATGCTTCTCGCATATGCCGGATACATCTTCTTTCAATTAAAAACACATCGACAAATTTTTGATGCACAACAGGTGATTGATGTTTAAACCTTAATTCAGCTCATTTAATCGTCATTACTCCAACATTTTTGCCAAAAAACAACTGGTGTCCAATATATGACACTAATTGTGACATTTTGAGAATGTAGAACAATCACGCTGGCATTTCATTTTTTATAGAATAAGTTGGTCTAGTTAAAAACTCTAGTGTTTTGACGTAATAGTAAGTTTTCTACAAAATGATAATTAAGCATGTGACTTGATCACAGGAAGTAGAAAATGAAGATGAAGAGAAGGCTGTGATAGGATTTTGGAGTGCATTTGCTTGGTTGGTTGGTATGACACTTATCATATCTCTGCTTTCTGAATATGTTGTTGCAACCATTGAGGTACATATGTATAATATTTTAACTACATTATTCTTGAAGTGCACAGATTCAGAATTTTCAATGGCTGAACTTGGATTAATGAGCTGTATATCCTTTCATGTTTAATTAGGCTGCTTCAGATTCATGGGGTATCTCTGTTAGCTTCATTAGCATAATTTTGTTACCAATTGTGGGAAACGCTGCAGAACACGCTGGCTCAATCATATTTGCTTTTAAGAACAAGTTGGTAAGTTATACATCAATTATATTGCTGACCATAAGCTTAAGTTGGTCATTAGTCTTTAATTTAACAGCTATGTATGACTTCGGTTGAAATTACGACGCAGGACATATCATTGGGAGTTGCTATGGGATCTGCAACTCAAATTTCTATGTTTGTGGTAAGGCTAAACTATTATTAGTTGTGTGTATAAACATAAGGTCTAAATGTCGACAATGTATAATGTGGTGACACCAATTTTGGTTATCTAATTATAAATGACAGGTTCCATTATGTGTGGTTGTTGCATGGCTAATGGGTATGGAAATGGATTTGGATTTCAATCTTCTTGAAACTGGGTGTCTTGCTTTCACAATTATTGTTACAGCATTTACTTTGCAGGTAAAGTATGCGTGGCAGCTTCTGTATATATATATATATATATATATATATATATATATATATATATATATATTATATTTTGATCACTTTTCTTTCTTTTCTTTATTCTAACAAGATTTTACTGTATCTCATATAGGATGGAACTTCACACTACATGAAAGGAGTGGTGCTTTTCCTGTGTTACATTATCATTGCTGCATGCTTTTTTGTTCACAAAACTCCACTCATAAGTAAGTATATATGTTGCTATTTTGCTCATCTTTATTAGCCTCCAATTCAAAGTTGAAGCACAATATGCTAGATTAGATAATAATAGTTAATGTATAAGAGGAGAATAAAATAAATTAATAAAAATAGCTCAATTATATATGTGTCTAAAGACCTAAAGTTATGTTTTTCACCTTACAAACATATTCTGAGGTCAACTTATGAGTTTGTTAATTATCTGTATTGCAGATGAAGCATAGGGTAGGGTGAATTTCTGAGGTAACCCTTTTAGGTGGAAGCTGTGTCTTTGAAACTAAAGCTTGGAGGTCCACCAGAATGTCATAAAACCATAGAACATGGCTTTCATTTTCCCTATAATAAGAGGTATACACAGAACATTGTGACATTTAGGGTGATTTGAAAACCCTTTTTTCCTTTTCTTTAACTTTTCCATGTTTTCCGCTTACTCCATAATCATATGATTTTTCACTCAGTGTAGGAAATAAATAACCAGTAAATAAAGTATGATGTTTCCTTTTTTCTTGCCTTTATATAGAAACTTTCTTTATGTTTTCTCATTACCATTTTTTTTTTATTAATAGGAATCACGATGATTAATTTAATTTAGATTTAATTACACATTAATTACTCCTAATTTTTCGTATATTTTGTCATTATGTTTTTATATGTCTATCGAAGTACTAACATGTCATAAAAAAATTAAAAAAAACAAAATCTTATAAGACAATGTTTTTTTATTTATTTATATTTTACACGTTGATATATTATTATATTCACGCTGGGTCAATTAAAAAAATCTAAAATTTGGTATGTTATTTTTAAATAATCGAGTTTTAGTTAAATCAATATAAAATAAAAAAATATATTAATTTTTTGATTGGTTAGTTTTAGTAAAAGAAAAATAAAAATTTCAGATTAAAATTTTTAATTTTTTAATATAATTTGTTTTATAAAAGATAAAATATTTTTTTAATTTTTTTATTTATCTCATATTAATCAAATAATAATTATTTTATTATATGTTTATCTTATTTTAATTATTATTTATTTTTTAGCCTCTAATTCATTTTATATTTATAATTTGTATCATATTATTTCTGTTATTTTTTTAATTATTATTACCAATATATTTATTATATTATTTTTAATTATTATTACTAATATATTATAAAAATATTATTTTATTAATTTGATTATACCTTATTTATCTTAATTAAATATTTAAATCTAAACTCGTATCTTTGATCCAATTTTAAAGAAATTGATCGTACATTTTACAATAAACCAAAAAAAGCTTTATTAAATAATGATATTAAAAAAATTTCTAATAAATAATAATTAGATTATAAATTAGAAAATAATATATACATTAACTATCATTCAAGCAAAAATTATTATTATTATTTATAATTAGTTTATGAAAAATCATATATATATATATATATATATATAAAGAATTATTTTATAGAACACTGTGCACCAATTTTTTCAATGATTTTTTTTATAAGTCATACTTGTCGATATTTTTTATTCTTTTAATGTTTTTTTCTAAAGAGACAAGATGCCAATAAAAAAATCTGAAATCGCAAATATAGAAAGTTGAAGAAAAAGTAACCGTTGAAAATCATGATAGACAATTGATAGCACGAAATTAATTTAATGAATACAAGGTGTTTAATTGAATGATGAATTTGACATAATGATTAGTAGCATCCACACATATTGTGGTGGAATCCAAATTCATACAAAAATTTTAAATTACACAAAACAATATTAATATAATGCGTATCTGATTTAATTAGTAAACTTTGAAAAATCCATTACAAAAATAGTGTAGTTATTGAAAATCTGAATTTAATAGAATAAATAAAACCATATAGCACTACGCGTCACATATAATAAGAAAAATAATTAACCACTAATTGGTCACATCTGCATCTAACCATAACAGTTTATTTAACTAATCATCAACTAACTCAACTATCTTATAATCTATAATCGTTCCACTAACCATTGCTTAAAATATACCGTTGTTAAATTAAATAAATTATAAATATATTTTTTTCTTTTAATTTTTAATATGTCGCTGATTTAAACGGTAGTGAAATCTTGTCCTATTAACCATCAACAAATTAATATAGAATGTTATGATAGAAAAATCTTAATTTTTAATTTCTCCAAAAATATGATTGGGGTTTCAATTTTTTGTAATAGATTTGGATTAGGTTAAGGTTTTTTTATATTGGGCCATTATAAATATTTTTTTATTTTTTTAATAAAAGATATATAATATTACTTATAATAATAATTTTTAATATATACATATTTTTTTGGGAACACCACTATTCCCACAAAATGAGGGAACACGGTTTCCTCCAAATTAAAAGGAATAATCATTCTACTCTTGAAATCATAAACCCTATATATTCAAACCTCTTTTCAAGAGGAGGTGCACCACATAGTGGTAGGGCTAACCACAGATAAATAATTTTTTTAATAAATACTTATAAACGCAACGCCAGCATTGCAACGGCCATTGGCATAACCTGCCGGTTGAGTTTGGAACTCAACACTCCTTGATTCCTCCACCTATTTTCAATAACCAAGTGGTTTTGGTCAAATTTATTCAATCATAAACTACATACTTCTTTTTGTTGTTTGTGTCAAAGATTAATTCTTTAATGAGATTCTTTTGAGTGATTTGTATTCATCAAGCAAGAACTAACCTTATAAATATCAGGATTCCAAACCTAAACTGCTTAAGATACAAGAAACTAGTTCCAACTAATGGAAATAACTATTGTATAATATGGTTGTTGGTCGTAAAGTACATGTTTGTAGCCATATTTGAAGAGCTCTATAAAATAACACATTCATGTCTCTTATCTTGGCAACAACCAGCATCTATCTTACTTGGAATTTTAAACTCAAACCTCTACCTTACAAGTCACAACTATGCCAACCCAGAAACACTCCTCAAAAGAAGAGCAATATAAACAAGTTGATCGGTGCTAGGACGGTTAGAAAGTCCACATTATTGCAACCCAAGTTCCAAATACACACAATGAGGCACCACGTTCATTAGTATAAAATGGTTTCAATATGGGAGGGAGGGTCAGCCATCTAGAGTCCCCCATCGGGTAATGGCAACCATAGACGAGACAAACCATGTTGCTGTCATCTTTGGGGTCACTGGACTTGTTGGGAGAGAGTTGGCTAGGAGGTTTCTGCTCCAAGAACCTTCTTGGAAGGTTTATGGTATAGCTAGAAAGCCTGAAACACCACCAACCCTTATAAGCCCTTGTTACCATTTCATCTCTTGCAATTTACTGAACCCTTTGGAGACACAGCAGAAGCTATCTGGCTTACAAGATGTGACTCATATGTTTTGGGTCACATGGGCTAGCCAGTTCCAATCAGAGACTCAACAAAGTTGTGAGCAGAACAAGGTCATGATGTCCAATGCTTTGAACTCTATGCTCTCAATAGCCAAGAGTCTAAAGCATGTTTCCCTTCAGACAGGAACCAAGCACTATGTGTCACTGCATCCCCCCTTTGAGCAAGAGAAGCTCCACTGTTACTACTACCATGAAGAGTTCCCCAGAATGAGCAGATCCCTTAATTTCTATTATGCCCTGGAGGATTTGCTCATGGAGAAACTGAGTGGTAAGGTGTCTTGGTCTGTTCATAGGCCTGGTTTATTGTTGGGTAGCTCTGTTAGATCAATTTATAACTTCATGGGAAGCTTGTGTGTTTATGGGGCTATTTGTAAACATTTAAGGCTCCCTTTTGTGTTTGGGGGGACAAGAAAGTGTTGGGAGGAGGCCTATATTGATGGATCAGATGCTAGGCTTGTAGCTGATCAGCACATTTGGGCAGCCACAAATAGTAAGATAATTTCCATCAATGGCCAAGCCTTCAACTCAATCAATGGCCCAACTTTCACATGGAAGGAGGTTTGGCCAATTGTTGGGAAGAAATTGGGAGTGCAAGTTCCACAAGACATGTTTGTGGAAAACTTTTGGTTTTCTAAAGCCATGACTGGGAAGCAGAAAGTTTGGGAAGAGATTGTGGAGGAATATGGGTTGGTTCATACAACTGTGGAAAATTTGGCTAACTGGGAATTTTTAGATGCCTTGTTTCGTTTACCTTTCAAACTCTTGGGGAGCAGAGACAAAGTTGATGGACTTGGTTTTGGTGCAAGGTATAAGACATTGAATTCAATATTGTATTGGATTGATTGCATGAGAGATGAGAAGCTGATTCCCAAGGCTTCTTGGTAGCTTTGACTTCAACTTCGAAGATTTTGGTAACAGAAATTTATGGCGCACCAGATTATGGGGTTAAGTTAGTGGCAGGGTGTGCTTTGCATGTGCTGGTTCACTAGACCCTTTATTGCTGCGTAGTTTACTAGTTTATATACAGCTGGAATCATCCAATTTAATAATGTATTTAACTTATTTTCTAGAGCAGTGTCCCTTTGTGTCACTTATGTATGGATTCAGGTGGAGGGGTTCCTTTGTCTTCATCCATCGACAATAACAATCCTATCTTTGGTTTTAGTGTCTGTAATCACTTTCCACCATTTTCTTTTTCTGCTTTTGCACCAATCATATACTAATCAAAATAAAATTGTAATAGAAGCTCTCAGTTCAGTTTATCAAATGGTCAGGTAGTTATTTTTTAAGTCCTTTCTTCTGGTCACATTTGAGACCATGTTAACTTAAGTAATTGATATATTTTTCTACTAATGCTCATAATATTTAAAGTATTAAATGCAAAATAATATATTTAATCTTTGTTTATATAATAAATATTTTCATCAACATTTTTAGAAAAAAAGATAAGTTATATTAAACTTTTTCACAAGTTAAAATTAATTTAGACATCCTAGTTTTGGGACTAGTTAAATGAAAAGTTTGTTTTTATAAAGTTAGATTTTATATTGTACAAATTTAACTCATTTTCCCTTTTCAATATAATACTTCTAGAAATATTGATCTAAACATTTCAAGTATAAAAATCATTAAAATATTTTAAATTTAGTGACTAGGAGGATTTATTAGAAGATATTATGGGAAGATTGATTATATGAAAGAGCTTCTAAGTTGGAGAACAGTGGCCATTAGCACCAAGCATAGACAGACATACAAATTTCAACACAAACTATATGCTCTATGGTGTATCTCAATAGGTCAGGAGTCAAGGGTATTAAAGAATAGTTATATTCTTCTACTCTTAAATTTTGAAGAAAAGTGTAAAGCTATAATGATAATATCTTAAGTAATAGCTAAGATTTTAATATGTAATTGATCGAAATTCATTCTTCAATATTTCAATTAAGGATCATAACTCCATGCTTTCAATTAAAGTAATGGAGAATATTGATTCATCCCCACAATTTTCATTCTTTTTTCGTCCTTAGAACAGCACTAGAAGGCCAACCATTTGTTCTGCTAAGAGTCCTTGGACAAATTAATTAAACATTGGACGTATTTTGTACTATATTGATATAATTTATCTTATCAGTTTTTTATATCATATTAATCTATTTCTAACTACATTATGTGAAGTAATATACAAGTTGACATCAGTAAAAAAAACTTCATATATATCGCTAAAATCCAGCAGATAATCATGTAATATTTCCTTTATTGTACAAAAGGTTCGACATTCTTTATGATGATATCTCTTCCTAGTTCCTAGCTTGCATGGATGAAAAATAGACAGAATAAGACTATAAATTACAGACTCTACAATAGTTTATCTGGAAAGGAACCATGCTCAAAAATGAAAAGGCTAAATGGTATGGTTGAGGAAACATATCAGCACACTGATTTAATCACCATAACAACCTGAACCGCATGTGACGCTTCTCAGTCCATATATTTTCAGTTCATGATAACTTTAGTTGAAGATTATCCAATAATGTAAAAATCATCAATCGTGGATGTTTAGTACTGTTTCTTTGATCTTGAACTCTAAATTCTTGAATCACCTCTTTTGGAAGTTCAAGATTTTAACCGACACAGCAAAGGAACCAAAGAAGAGGATGTTAAAACAAATCAGGACAATGACTGACAGCAACACTGATGACATTCCATTAATTGTTTCCTCATATCCAAGAGTAACGGCAATATACTCACTCACAGTTCCTTGGAATCCAGGTCCCACAATCATTTCTTGCACATCGCCAAGCTGAGATGTGATAATGCCACGCAGTGTCCATGAAACTGGGCAGAGATAATGGAACCAAATCCACCATACAGGAATATGCTGAAACATTGCAAGACTCAATTGATATTAGGCCAAAACAAAAAAATGTTAGATACATCTAAATGTACAAAGTTATAGGTTGTTTTACTCACAGATTTTGGAATAAGAAATCCGGATACAAGATTCCATAGAGAGTAAAATGCAGAAGAAATAACTGCTGCAAAGTGTTGGGTAGGTGTAATTCCAACGGCCATCATACCGTAGAAGGTGAAGTACATGAATGTAAGGAACAAGAACACAAGATAGAGCAAAAACTTTCCTGCATTAGAGAAGAAAAGTCATAGTCTTATGTTAGTGTTTGTCTGAGGACAAATTTAGGAATGCAACATAAGAAAATAAAAATATATATGTAAAAAAGTTCTCAATATTTGGCAGCTGGAACCACACAAATTTTATTCCTGTTGAAAAACTTCAACTACTATCTTTTAAAACTACATGAGTATGATTAATGTAACTAGAGTGAAAAGTCCTTCTTTCTATGATATAAAGGTGGATATCAATATGGAAATTTGAGATCTTACCAGCATCTCTTTCAAAATTGACCATGTAGTATGTGATTATACCAAAAATTATGGTCTGAAGAACAACGTATGGGATCTCCACCAGTCCCTGTTAATAAGATAAAGTAACCACGATATATGCAATCTGAAAATGAAATATAGCCTTGAAAACCGTTCCTGGTAGAATGGCACCTACCTGGGCAATTGCATATGAGATTGGAGAGTACATTCCAGCTGCTTTCTCTCTATAAAACACTGTCCTTTCTATTGAAACAACAGGTTGTACAGAAGATGCATTGTTTACTCCAAGGAAAAGGCATGCAGAAAAGAGTGCACCCATAATTACATACACTTCATGAGTTGTTCCCCTGCAGAACATTCAGTGACATGGTTATCATAAATACTTTTGCTTTTATTTTCATAGATAAGATACTTTTTCTGATGACAAATGAGATTATGAAGAATGCATACCTCTTTGTACCGATGTCCCAAAATACGGTACCAAATATCAAGGCGCATATTATTGTAAAGAATATCCTCATTGCATTGTAGGGTGGACTCCTCCAGTACACTAGATTCTGCTTCCATAAACACTTGAGAAATTGTGCCCATGTGTTTTGTGCGTATGTTGTGTCAAACTTCAAAGGTTCTGAGCCAGGAGGAGGTTGACCATATTCCTTAATAGAAGATAACACCCCCCTGAGGTAAAGATGCGACAGTCATTAATCAAACATGGAAAACGATCTTTCTATGCACACGGTTGTAACCTAACGATGAGCTTTTGTTATTAATAATGTTATTATTGTTGTTGTTTATCATATTCATAGACGTTATCCATTCCTCAAATACAGAAAGTGTAAGGAAGATCATGCCAGTAGCACACAAGAAAATAAAAAAGAACCTGAATTGTTCGGAATTTTCATAAATTTCAGAAAAGTCTACTCCAAGTTTCTCTTCAATAGCTGGCGTGGTAACCTCGAGCATCCATGTAGCTGGATTGTAGCCACTGGAGATTGGAGAGATTCCTTTAATATCCTGCAGAACAAATAGGAAGGAAATTTAATACTACCACAAATAATAAACTCCAAGATACAAAATGAGAACTTTCCTTCAGAACGTGTACGTGTTAGGCAATGAAAGAGGTAAGGTCAAGTCAGGACATACAAGTAAGGTCATGGTTGATAATACTCTATAGTCTTCAAACAATATAGAAATTTAATCTGCTCACAACTCCTCCATGTTCTTAAAAATTCATGTAGGAAGATTAATTTGAGACTAAAGGCTTCCAGCTTGGTGGTTTAGATATTTTATAGCTAATCCTTACTTGTGTGGCTTAAATTCAAAGGTAGAGAGGGTTTTGACAAAAGATGTTGGATTAAATTCCATGAACTAAATTTCTACCTGAACATGCTGTCCTCACACTACTAAGGAATGGAGTGTGAAAATATATAAGACATGATAGAAGATAGTGTTACCTGGAAATATTTTATCATAATATCTGATTGCGTACCAATCTTTCCTCCATAGATGACTCGTCCTCCACGTTTCATTAGAAGTAACTGAGAGTGAAGAATCAAAGTTTAGACCCTCTGAGATAAGCTACTTAATCATTAGTTAAAACAATAGTAAATTGTAGTGATAGTAATTGAACAACTAACCTCATCAAATGCTTCAAATATATCAATACTTGGCTGATGGATGGTGCAAACCACTGTTCTACCAGTATCAACTGTATTGCGAACTGTTCGCATAACAATGGCTGCTGCACGTGCATCAAGTCCAGATGTAGGCTCATCCATGAAAATAATGGAAGGGTTTGCTACAAGCTCCACTGCAATTGTCAGTCTCTTTCTCTGCTCTGTTGATAAGCCAGAAGTACCAGGCATTCCAACCAAAGCCTTCCTTAAATTATCAAGCTCCACTAGTTTCATTACTTGTTCAACAAATTCCTGCAGAAGAGATTGCCATGTCAATGAACTGACTACAGTTAAGCATGCTAAGATATTCATTATTGTCACTTGTTCAGTAAGGAACTTACAAGCTTTTTCTCCATGCTTACTTCCTTCGGAAGCCTTAATGAGGCAGAAAACCACAGGGATTCCTCAACCGTCAGTTGAGGCGAATGTATGTCATTTTGTTCAACATATCCTGAAATTCTGGCAAACGTTTGTTGCACTTTAGGATAGCCAGATATTTTAATTTCACCCTCAATATATCCTCCTGTTTTCCTTCCAGCAAGAACATCCATCAAAGTGGTCTTTCCAGCTCCACTTGATCCCATCAAAGCTGTAAGAACACCAGGTGCAAAAACGCCGCTCACGTTTGACAAGAGCTTCAGCTTAGCTTCTCCTACGCCTTGTTTTGCTATCTCCTGGAAAAAGAAAGTTTATTCAGAAAAAGTTAATGGAGAATCAACTTCTACTACTTCTTTTTGTCTTCGAAAAAATGCCTTCAGGAAACTGAAACTACAAATGCCTCCAACCTGTGGCATATCAACGTAATAATTG